GCTGCCGGCCATGTGACCAGGTAGGAGTGGCTTGCCAGCCATGTGACTGGGTGGGCGTGGCCAACTTGTAAAAAGTGGTGAAACTCACTTAACAACACTCTTGCTCAGCAACCAAAATGTTGGCTCAGGAATTCTGGGAGTTGAAGTCCGCAAGTCTTAAAGCTGTCAAGTTTGAACATCCCTGGGGTTTTTTTTCTAAAGAGTTAGGGGTACAAGGGTCTTGTAACTTGACAGTTTTAAGACTTGCGTGCTTCAAATGACAGAGCTTCTGAGCCAACATTTTGGTTGCTGAGCAAGAGTGTTGTTAAGTGAGTTTCACCACATTTTACAAGTTGGCCACGCCCACCCAGTCACATGGCTGGCAAGCCACTCCCACCTGGTCACATGGCCGGCAAGCCACTCCCACCCGGTCACATGGCAGTAAGCTACTCCCAGAAGGCAAGCCACACCTACAGAAGAGGTTCTAAAAAATTTTGAAACCCACCACTGAGCTACACCCACGTACAAAATAAATCTTTGAAAAATTCAATAGTTCTTGTTAGTTTGGGAAGCAGAAAGGGCTTGTTTGCCCACCTTATCTCGCAGGTAGTGCAAAGACCTTTCCCTGCAGACTCAGGGCAACATTGCCATGGTTAGGCCATGGCCTATTTAAAAAGACAGTTAATATTTATGCCTTTCTTTCTGCCATAGGCTTTTAATATAAAATGCAAGTCAAATAATAAAATCAGACATACGAGAATGAAAAAGATAGTAATCCACACAAGACTTGCATCAAGGTCACCAGATGGGAAACATGATGGTGTGGTAATACTATTAATAGTCCAACAGACGCCCATCGTCTTCACCTTTGGTCAGAAAAGGGAGAACTGGGTGTAATCTTTGGAAGAGGGCATTCTAGCACATTATTATTATTTAGCGCAGTGGTTCCCAAACTTGGCAACTTTAAGACTTGTGGACTTCAACTCCCAGAATTCTCCAGCCAGCTGGCTGGACAATTCTGGGAGTTGAAGTCCACAAGTCTTAAAGTTGCCAAGTTTGGGAACCACTGATTTAGCGCATGGCAATGATAAATTAGCCAGGAAACTACAAGGCTAATACAGAGTAGTAGGTGCCTGCCTTATTATTCAGCATAACTCCCTCACAGAGAGGTCCCATCCCACATGTTGGCTAGTTCCGTATATTGTCTTTGTCACTTATCAATGGCAGACAGACCCACATCCGACAGTCAAGGCAGAAAAACAAGAGTTGGATTTAAATATTGTTTATATTGGTGCTGAAGGTTCAGTCCCAGAATTACTGGTCTCCATTAAGGTGAAGTGCAAAGGCAAGAGAGCCTCAACTTGGCCGTTAGAAGGTGACACCCTCAGATTTCCCCTGTAGGGATGGTCTCAATCTTTCTCCAGGTCTCTTGCTTGAGGCTTTCTTGTCCTTCCCCCCACACCCACCCCAATATCGTTTTTCTTGATTGTGTATGATTTTGAACCTGCAACCTGGTCCGGTTTGTGATGTTCTACCACCACAGAGCTAGCAAATAACTCTGATTATCTCTGTCTTGTCCTCAGCTTCTTCCTGAGCTGACAAATCCAGATGAGCTGCTGTCCTACCTGGGCCCCCCCGACCTTCCCAATAATAGCAACGATGATCTGCTCTCTTTGTTTGAGAACAATTGAAGCCTCCCCAGATGGAACCCTGGCATCATGCTCCACCTGCCATGTTCTCTCTCTTTCTCTCTCTCTCTCTCTCTCCCCCCCCTCTCTCTCTCTCTCTCACACACACACACACACACTCTTTCACTTACAATTTATCCCGTAGCTTCCCAGGCTGTCATCAAGAGAGAGACCTTGCCTTGTATCCCGGTGGTAGCCATGAAGCCCTGCTAGTGAATCAGTGCGCGGGACCTCGGCCAGGCAGCCATCTCCTTTTGCTAGGATTGCCTTTTGTCTATAAAAGGGCTCCCATGGGAGACTAGGAAGGCTTGTTTTACTTGTTTTGAGAAATCCTTCCAGCCCAGGAGAGATGGCGCTGCTGCTGCTGTTTGATGGGGACTGAAAAACGGCTTTTTATCATGTTACTGAGGCCAGATCAGGTAGAGGGCATTGTCTTGCTTCTAATAATATTCCCAAGATAGCTCTACAGCCAGGGCAGGAAGAAACGCATCTGGTTAGCCTTTGGAAATGTGACTAGAATTGACAACTCCCATCATGTGCATCATTCTTGATAACTTGAGATGAGCATGTCTGCCTGATCATCTGAAGCTATGGAATGAAACTGACACCTGACACTTCATCCACTTTCCTCGTGGATTTTAAAGAACAAATCCCAAGGAACATCAGAGCTCTGCTACATCTAGAGAAAGCAGATCAAGCTTGCCTGCTCTTATCTGGATCTGGAGCCCTCCTTCCCATGAGCTACAGTAGTTCTCCCTGTCCATCCTCTACAGCCTTGATATGGACAGAGCAGCAGTTCCCCATGCGGTTTCCAGCATCGTGGTGAGAGCATCCTCAAATTCAGATGAGCAACCTGCCCGCTGTCTCTCTCTTCAAAAGGAGGCTATTCCCCGCAGAAGGACCCCCAGGCAAATTCCAGTTAGGAAATCTTCCCCTGACTTCCTGCTGACTGTGAAAGTGAAGAAACGCATCTCTGACTGAAAGAACCAAAGGTTCCTCAGATACAGCCTGACAGATCGCCTCCGTCAGTTGATGGATCCATCTACAAGCACAACAATGTACATAATGTAGAAACACTAAAAGAAACAAACAAAGAAGAAGAAGCGAGGGTGGGAGGAAGCGAAAGTGGGAGGGATGGGAAAGAAAATGTTTTAAAAACTCATCACACTTGTTGTATAGTCTCATGGGGCTCCCCAGGCATGGGGCAAAAGGTCCTCTGTATAAATGTGCATAAGCTTCCTAGATTGTAATATAGACCATTCCACATGAGACAGAGTGCACCATCCAGAGACGTGATGCTTTTAGCCATAGCCGGGGCTTGTCCCTTGCATTTGATCTGTGGGGATCCCGCCAAAGGAGAGTCTGGATGCTGAGATTTTACTCATTTTAATCCCGAGCCCCCGAAAGTTAAGTGGCAAACGAGACAAATCCCAAAACTTAAGTTTTAAAATACGTGTGTGTGTTGGCCTTCCGTTCCCTTCCATCCCGCCCAGGAACCTACTTTGGTTAAGGGTTGCACTTGGGGTGGTGGTGAAGAGATCCCAGGTGTGATCTGTCTGTGAAAAAATCAAAGCCATTGTTTGTGGCCAGGTTTCCTGAGCCAGGGAATCCCTGAGTCCCAAGTGCTGACAGCTCTGTTGACTTTCGTGTATCTTGTTTCATTATTGCTATATATTAAAGGATTCTTTTTGGTGGGGCTCACCAAATATCTTTTGTGGGCCGTTGACTTTCAGGTTTGATTGCTTGCAGCCTTGAGGAGTAAAAGGGGGCGGGGAGGGCAGATCACACGGTTATTTGTTATTTTCTCCTCCTAGAATATAGGAACTCATTTCTTGAAGAGACAAGTCAATGACCAACCCAAGCCCAAAAAATATTGAAATTGGCAACCACGTCACAGAAACCAAAGAATGACTAGGAGCATAATTTTGATTAGGGTATAACTATAATAATTTGTGTGGTTGGAGATGGTCCGTTGTCGCAAGAGGCAAAATTAACCTTGAGGGCAATAGAATACAAGCACTGTAGAGGATACAACTTTGGAAGCAGAGAAATATTTGGGGGCCATGCTAAAAGGTTAAAAAGATGGTGGAGGCTGAAAGGGTGCCACCCCCCCCCCATAAATAGCTATTTAAAAAATATCTCCCTCTCTAAAACTGATCGATGCTTCTCCTCTTTTAAGAGAACCTGGTATTCTTATATGTCCCCCCAGCAAAAACATGAATCTTATCTCTTCTAGGCGTTTGTGCTAGAATTCAGTAAACCTTGGCCCATTTTCATTCAAATCTGAGTGATGGAGAAAAGGAAACTCGGCTACACTCTCCTATTACCATTATTAGAATCACCCTACATGAAGCACCCCAAATGAGCTACTATCCTACCAAATTGGAGGTTGCTGACATCTCAGAGGCAGACAGGGTGCTGGGATTGTCATGCATGTCCAGGTTAAGCCTCTATGTTAAGTTGTAGGACTTTGTGCACAACAAGGAAATAAATTACTGCAGTGTTAGTTGTCCTGGTATGCCAAGGAGAACGGAAAGTTACAATACTTCTCCAAAAAAAAAGAGAGAAGGGAACATGTCACAAGTAGCACTGCCTCCTTTGTACTAAAGAAAGTCCATCAATCAGTGATATATAGCCCAAGTTTTGATGGCCCCAGAATAATTTCTAAAGTCTGCTGCAATTAGAGATTTTTGCAACCTCAGGAAGCATGTTGATGGCACTGGACCAGTGATTATAATGGCAGTGCCTAGTGAGCTGGATCTTGATGTAGCTAGAGACAACTATTAAAATTACTGAGATTTTGGTCATGTCTAACTAAACTCCTATTAATTTCAGGTATGACTGAATCTGGATCTAGCCTTCCTGTGGGCATGCATGTTCCTGTCCCTTTCAAGTCTAGGAAATCTACCCTACAGGTTTCCTTTGAAGTAGTCCAAAAAGTTAAGAATGACTGAATGAAGAATAATTGACGCCTTTGAACTGTAGTACTGGTGTAAATTATTGTGTATACCATGGATGGCCAGAGTAACTAACAGAGGTGGTTAAATCGTTTTAAACCAGACACATCACTAAGCTAAAATCATAAGGCTACGTCTGAGTTACTTTGGCCATGTCATGCCTGCAAATTCATTGAAGAAGGCAATGATGCTAGGAATGGTTGGTGGAAAAAGAAGAAGAGTCAAGCAAAGAACTTGCTGGCTTGATAACATCAAACCTGATACAAAGATGAACATCCAACAACTGAAAGCTGCTGTGCTTCACGAGGTCCCATGAACAACACTTGCCTATAAAGTCACCAAGAGTCGGACACAACTAAATGGTTAAAAGAACAATTCCAAAAGAGGAGAGCTTTTAGCAAGTTGAATCTCATTCCTAGACCAAGTCCCAGAGTTCAGCGGTCAGACACTTTGAAGTCATCCTGGTGCTGGATGTTAGAAGAGTCTGAAGGTGCCCTGCATAATGGGAGAAGGGTCACTGGTGCAGCACCCGTATCAAGGTTCGATCCCCCATCTCCAGTTCAGCAGATTAGGTTGCGAAATACATTTGTCTGACATTTTGGAATGTCTCTGCCACTTTTTATAGGCAGTAGTTGGGATAGATGGAATTACAACCGGTCTGGTAGACTGCAGGTTCCTAGTAGTCTAGGAGAAAGTCCAGGGTTAAATATACTCAAGGCTATTTCTAAGTAAAAGAGAGAGAGGGAAATCAGGCAATAGACGACCGGAATTCCTGAATCCCAGATGGTCTCCAGGAAATGGAGGAAATTTCAAAAATCAAAACTTTGGGAAGGGAACACACTATGAAAATTTTCCTGGAGCGTTAACCAACAAGAGAGATTTGAAAGGCGCTTGTTTTGTACCCCAAGAAAAGTTTTGGAAGGAACAAAAATAAACTAAAGGCAGTTCTTGCTTACAAAACAATCTACCGCAAAGCTCAAGGAAGGCTTTTAAAACAAAGTGGAGAAATCATTAAGGGCTAAAGAGATCTTGATTGCTTAGAATTAAATCTCCAAAAGGAAGTGTGAGACAGACAGAACAGAATCTACTCAACATAAAACTAACAAAATATAGGAAGCACAATAGAATGTATAATTGTCAGCAAAGACATCATTCTTCCGGATGATTTTGCCTGGGGATGTTAATGATGTCAGGTCCTTTATACTGAACTTATGCAGATTACTGGGAAAAGGAGACAGCCAAGATGCCACCTTTAAAAAAAAAATAGCAAGTCTTAGAAATAAATTGATTGAGCCTCCCTCTCGTGATATGTAGAAAATTAATGCTAAGGATGATAAGAATTCCCCTACAATTTACAATTAGGTAGTTCTGCAGATTCTGAATGTCCTTCCCAGGCCCTTCAGACGTCCCTTATCACCAACGCATGCCCAAAGGAATACCCCATTCAGCACTTTTCTTGATTTACAGACCATGAGTGAAAGCAAGAAGAGGTCATTTTGATTGATAACTCATAGCTCATGAGTTCAATATCCAGGTAAGACCATTGCTAGGAATCACACGCCAGCAATTATGTAGGCCTACTGGTTTTCACCAATTAATAATGTACTAGATTATAATATATTATTCAGAATATGGCTCTTTTTTCTTTCTGCATTGCCAAGTATTTGTTCTACTGATCATCACTATCACCCCAGGGAGCATCCCAATAAACATATTATGGGTTATCAGCACACCAGGAAGCCTGAGCTCAATTTTATCCTAAGACCGCCATACATTTTTTTTCTTTGGCAGCTCTGAATTGTCAGAAAAAACGTCTGTATAAATGTTGCTGCACGGTTGTCATCCTTTTCTCACTAGATTATAATAAATAACTGAAACTCAGCTTAACTCAAGGTTATTCCAGGTGAAGAACACAACTGACCTTTGATTTTGAAGCGGGCCGTAATGAAATGAAGACATGGTGGGAGGGGGTGGGGGGAGTGAAACTGAAAGAAACTGGTCCATTTTTACCCACAAAATAATCCATCACTTATTACCGTTGGTTTT